CACACAAACAACACAGACAGGGGGAAACAAACACAAAGGAGACAGCTGGAGCAGTCCAGCCACCACAGCGTTACCTAATGCAACTCCACACTACGGTGCTGTGTACCGGAGGGGAGAGAGAGAGGAGTGAAGGGGGGGAGAGAGATGTAATACGGTTTCCTGATAAACGTTTTGTTTGATAGGCCTCAGCTGTGGAGAGTATGTGCTGCAGGGAGGTGGATGCACCTTGCACAACACACCAAGGAACGAAAGCTAGCTCCGGTCCTTCCCTGTTAGGGAAACTGTGGACTCGATGTCCTGACAGGCTGGAGCTCACCATGATCACAAATAGTGAAATGCAATGTAAAATGACCGAAAAAAATACCAGCTCACTAAATCACAACCGCTCAAACCAACTACAAACTACTACCGCGGATTGGGCAGAGAAGGAGTCCGAGATAGTTGCTCGCCCATGTGACGTAATATGTAATGTAATATGACGCGTTTGACGTTAAAAAAAAGAAGCAGTTTTTAGTAGCAGAGCTCAAAACGGCTCCTTTCCCTCTGAATTCCTGCCCTTATGTCTCATATCAAATCCTGCATTAACTTTTTTAAATGTAATTTTCAGGCAAGGTTAAGCATAAATGTAGTTAAAAAAAAAACCTGCAAGTTGCTCTTTAAGAGGTTATAGGGACTAAATATGTCCGAATTATTATCACCAAAATACTGCATTGCCGTTTCAGTTTATGTAAACTAAGTGGGCCAAGCTATCCCTTCTCTTACCTGAGGAGTCTGCTCTTCCTTTTTCCGTTTCTCTTCGTCTTGCAGCCGTTTCTGTTGCTTGCGGGAGACCACCTCTGTGAAGCCGTCATCAATGGTGTTGGACTGTGGGTCTTCAGTGGTGGTGACCTCAGGATGGTCATCGATGATCACAACACCTACAGTGACGGGACAGAAGAGAATCAAGACATTTACATTCAGGTTAACCTGTTAAACCCCGAACCTGTTTTTCAGGTTTCAGGCTCGAAAATGACATTCCCAGAACAAATGACCATATCTTCCCTTCTAAAAGGGTTAAATTAATAATCTTTTTTCTCAAAGTAAAGTAAAGATAAACCTGTCAGTTGGATGTAGAAAAGTCAGATTCAATATAGATGTTNCATTTACAACGGCATATCAACGGAGGCTCCACAACCTTTCTCCGCCAGATCGTTATAAAACCACAGTGGTATAACTGCAAGGCTACTTAGCATTATAGCTATTTTCTCATACCTGGATGTTTTAGCGACGCGAGATACTGCTGATACTTGCACATTCGTTTCTGTTATGGATCAGTATCAACAGTCCTGCCAGTAACGTTACTATATTACAATACTACTTTAGTTATAGCCTGATATATGATAGCTAACTTTACAATGTTGTGATGTGACGTTAGCTAACATTAACTGTAGCTAACGCCGGTCACTCACCAAGATAGCTGCCCAGTTCTCTGCTGGTTCTCCTCACACCACAGCTCAATTTCTCTCCGATGGCCGTTATTTCTTCTAATCCTTGTCTCCTGTTCTTTGGACGCCTAGCAGGCTCATCATTATATGGTAATGGTCCGTCATATGCATTCGAATATTTATTTTCAACCTCTTCTGTGTCAAAACTAGCATTGTGATCCATGTTTATTACTACGTTAGACCGGCCGCTCTTCCCCCATGTGACGTCACATGCGGGATGTCACGTGGGGAGGGTTTTTTTTTATGCTGAAGTAAAAATGTCTTACTAAAACAACGCCAGATGTCACTGTAGTGTATATTTTTTGGGAAAATCTAGTGTATACATCATTTTCCTACACATTTATTCACTGGATGCACTATATTGTCATGTTTTTTTACTATCTAATTGCAGAGAAATAAAAACGTTTCTGTCGTGGATAAAACATCATTATACCTTTTTTTTGTTTTTTTTGTTCAAGGGATGGCCCAGAGGCAGCTCCAGATATAAAAATAATTCATTTATATTGTAAAAGTTCACTAGGCAAAATGAGTAAACTGTAACTCACATGTTAAATTGCAAATTAATTGTTAATGTACCATTTCGGCATATCTTATATTGGAGGAGTTTTGCGATATCTTACTTTAAAGCCTTTTTATCTGAAAAGTTGATGTTCTGATATCATCATACACTACTAACTCGTACTGTGTTCTCCAGAACTGGAGTAAAAAAGGCTCTGGTGAGAAGAGCAGAGGAGGAGGAGGCGGCGGAGGAAAGCTGCCACCAAGATTTGCCAAAAAGCAGTCATCACAACAACAACAACAACAACAACAACAACATCAACAGCAGCAGCAACAAAAACATCATCAACAGCAGCAGCAGCAGCAACAACAACAACAACAACAACAGCAACAACAACAGCTGCTGCAGGCTACACAGTCTCAGCCTCCTGTCCCCCCCGAACCTCAGGCCCAACAGCAACCTCCAATTTCTGCCCCCCAGCATCCTCACCTCGCCCCCTCCCAACCTACTGCATCCCCGCAGACTCTGGAAGGAGCAGTGGCTCCACTGCCCTCCATCCCCCCTGCCACTGTGGACTTTACCTCAAAGAGCCTCCTCCCCGCACCTGTGCAGACGCACAGCACTCTGGGAACAGAGCTGTGGGAGAGTAAGGTAGCAGGCACCACGGTCCTTCCTGATGTCAAGAAACGTGAGTGGAAAAGTCAATTATTGTTACAAATGTCTGCTTGAGTCCTTAATGTTGTGATTAATTTAATAAATCAGCAAACTTGTCTAAAACATGCAATTTGTTTATTCCAGTTGGTCCAATCAGCCCTCCACAGCCACCTTCTGTGAGTGCCTGGAACAAACCCCTTACCTCCTTTATTGGCACGGTTTCCTCTGAGGTATGTGGAATACGTCCCGTCTTTGCTTGAGTGTATAATCCTTAGACTCAATTATTAAACTTGATAAATGTTGTGTTTCAGGTTATGAAGCTTGGATCGGAGGGAGGTGTGGAAATGGCAATAGACAGTATTCAGTTTGGAGCGCCGTCATCTGCAGGCAGCACCGACAGTGATGGAGTTCCAGCGTTGCTAGAAAACATCTCTGAAAACAAACTACCCGCTCCCAAAGAACAGAGACAGAAACAACCTCGAGCTGGCCCAATCAAAACGCAGAAGGTAGTTTAGCCATCAGACATTGTTGTTTTGGATTTAGATTTTTTTGTTTGGAAGAATTGGTTGACATAAAAACACCATTGTAATCGTGTAAATCCGACTCCTCAGCTTCCTGAAATGGAACCAGTGGAAACCAAGGAGTACAAGCCAGGTCCCATTGGTAAAGAGCGCTCATTGAAGAACCGCAAGGCCAAAGACGCACGTGGAGACGTGGAGGGGATGGAGGGAGGAGCCCCCGGAGGAGTCAGTAGAGCCACAGACTCCAGTCCACCCTGCAGCGAGACAGTAGCAGAGCTGGGAGGAGACATCGAGGGCATGATCACAATCCCCTCTGCAGAGTACCACAGCAACTCTAAGGTACATCAGAGTCACATGATCACACAGCTAGGCTTTCTTTTTGTAATATACTTATATTATAGTTGATTTGAGTGAAGCAATCACTTTACCTCTGGGCGTGTGGTTAAAGTAACGATTATGATGTGTGTTGAATTAATAACCAAGTCTCGTCTTTACTAGCTCACAATAAAAGTGAATTCCAATTAAATAATACCTATCAATATAAAAGTAATATTGCTGCACAAAAACATGTCTGAATGAACAGAATATATGTCTTTCCCTCTCAGGAGTCTGTCACCGACTACACCACCCCCTCCTCCTCACTGGCTGACAGTGTTCCTACAGGAGTGAATAAAATGGAAGAGATATTGGTGGCAAATGTGAGTACATCCTAGGGCTGTGCGATTATGGCAAAAATCATAATCACCATTATTTTTGTTCAATAATTGATATCACGATTATTAAATACGATTATTCATTGACTTTGAAAACATCCATTTATTGAACTTTAAAACAAATACAAATAATAATCTGAACAGTGTCTTTTTTAACTGTCGATTACCCCGAATGTATAATTCAACTGAAAAACCAATACAAAAATCAATGATATATTTACATTAAAATAAATAAATCAAATAACAATAAACAAGATCAACACATATTTTGGAGCGCACTTCAACAGGCTACTAAACATATATAAATGATAAATACAAATAAATTAGACTGAAATAAATTAGATCAAATATGTTGCAGTGCACTGTCACAACCTGGCAAAGCAAAATAATCGTTTTTTTCGATTATGTTGTTTTCTTAATTGTGGCAGGCTAAAATCGTAATTGCGATTAAAATATGATTTAATTGCACAGCCCTAGTACATCCTTATTCTCTAGGTCTGTGCCATACAGTTCTTATTCACAGGATAACTACCGTAATTTTCGGACTATAAGGCGCACCTGAATATAAGCCGCAGCAGCTAAATTGAATGATGTGTACATCAACCAGTGGTACGGGGACAAACTGTCTCGCTCTCGTAATGTCTGTCTGTCTTGCTCTCGTTCTGTCTCTCGTACCACTCTCGGTTCCACTTTTACTTTTGCGCGCTACCTGTCTCACTCTTTTCCGGCCTCCAGCTTTTCCTGCTGGAGCCCGCCGCTTAAAGGTGGGGGGCGCGGACCGGCCATAGAGCCCATAGAGTTAAAAGGTGGTGGACTGTAACATGTAAAATCCATAGATTTAGAGGTCCCCTAGTGGCCGTTAGCGTAAAGAATCCTAGATTAGCCGCACCGTTATATAGGCCGCGGCGGCGAAAAAGGGGAAAAAAGGCGCGGCTAAGTCCCGAAATTCGGTACTGCAATCCCCCCCTAAAAAAACTTGGGTATTATTCAAAGACTATTTTTTGAGTTGTGTACAGGGGCATACCCCACTCACCTGCCCTGTTCCCTCGGAAGAGACCCGCAGGCAGAGCTCCCAGCCCAGCAATGTCCTCTCCTGCTAACTGTTGACCTAAACACTAAAGGTAACACAGAGAAGCAACACAACCGTGCCGTACTTCGGAGAAAGGTTCAGTTTAACATGACCTAAAATACCGCGACAATCGTCTCCTCCTCAGATGAATCGGCTCGTAAAGCGTGGGAATCCCCGAGTCTGGAACAACGGAAAAAGAGAGAACCCCCCGTCGTGTCCGCTTCCTCCCCCATCACATCCATGTGCCGTCCTGTACCTCCCACCTTCTCTTCAGCCTCTATGCCACAGATTCCCGTGGCTTTCTGTCCCCCCCAGCACCTCTCGACAGGTAACATGAACTCCCGAGAAAACATCTGCCTTATATCTCCATAGTGTGTCAAAGATGTCATGTTTTACAACATTTTCATCTCCACCCTGAGTCTGGACTAACAACGTCATCCACTCAGCACCAGACAACCACAGCCTCGGACCCCCCTAACATCTGTAAGTGGGGTGACAGCCCAGCATCTGCAGAATTGGCGGTCTGCTCCTCCCAGCAGTCATGCATCTAGTTCTATTCTATCTTTTCTCTCACTGGGCTGTTGCTACACTTCCTGCCGACCAGCAGCAGCAGACCCCCAGGTGATTAACTCCGTCAGGCTCTGCAGCAGGTGACGACGAAACCATGCACTGAACTGTGCACGGTTTGTTATTGTCTTGTAATGATAGTGCTGTTAAACATTCCTATACCTGCTTGTTTCTTGATAGTCTCTGAATGTCAGTTCGTTTTTTTTGGATATTCACGCTATGGCTACTAAGCCTAAATATCCAAACCGTGTATTTTGAGGTTCGTGCCACTCAGATTCCAGCCTTCTTACATGGGACAGCTTTTAGCCACGCCTACTTCAGTACCCCCAACCCTCGCTTGGCACCTTCCCTCTACCTGGCGCAGCACAAGGTTTCCACCCCGGCCTCTCGCAGAGCGCACGGTCTTTGTCAAAACAAGCGCAAAGAATGTTTTTTTAAACATGAGGCGTCAACCTCTGCGTGTCCTGTCGGTTTCTCCACCCTTCCAGACCGACAGCAGTGCAGAGCATTCCAATCCCATCTAGCGCTGCCAACTGCACGTCCAGCCGCAGCNCTCGGGGTTTGCTAGCTGATATGTTACCAATCAGGGGCCGTATTCACAAAAAAATGTTTTAGTGCGAGTTAGGAGCACTCCTAGTGGTAAGATAAAATGCTTTGTGAATACGGCCCCTGATTGGTAACATATCAGCTAGCAAACCCCGAGCCTGTTTTTCAGGTTTCAGGCTCGAAAATGACATTCCCAGAACAAATGACCATATCTTCTCTTCTAAAAGGGTTAAATTAATAATCTTTTTTCTCAAAGTAAAGTAAAGATAAACCTGTCAGTTGGATGTAGAAAAGTCAGATTCAATATAGATGTTTTTTATTTTAAAGAAAATTCAGATTGAACATGGTAAAAAACTGTAAATTATAGTGTCCATCCAAAAAATATTTTGTACTTATAGTGAAAACTAACCTTGGATGATGGGTTAGTAGACTAAAAGCTTTAGGAATCCAAAGTACAACATATAATAAGTACCCTGTATCAAGATTGATGCAAAACAAGTAATATTTGACATTTTTAGACAGATTTAGCAAAAAAAAACCTCTTCTGGGGCCATTTGGGTGGATTTTTCATATCTCTGGCTCCCCTTGCTGGATTTTGACATGTGACATCTCTTTCTAACCGTCAGAGCCAATGGAATCGAGGGGAACTCCCACATAGTCCTTATTTGGTCATGTGTGTGTATTAGACTGCCGCATAGCCAAGACCGGAAGCAGCAGCCACTCTGGTGGCTACCATTAGCAGCTAACTTTTGCTCTGCGATTTTTACATAAAAATTGAATTATAAAGACACATTTTTGCCCAGAAACTTTATCAACCTATGGATTAACCGATTCAGCCGCGTTTTTTCTCTTTTTAATGCCATTGAACACGTCTTTTGATCAGATTGACAGCTACGGTGAGACGATCTCCCTAGAAGCTCCGTAAAGGTACGTGTTGTGATGTCTGTGTTTGCTTCCTCTGTCGCAAGTTGGGATCACTCAGTGATGATACTATATACCTAAATAATCTGTGGAACCTCAGCTTTAAATCGGATATCTTGTATGTGCAGCTACGATAAGTAATAAGGGTACTTTTATCTTGAGTTCTGTGCCAATGTCAGTTAGCATTTTTCGCTAAGGGGTCATTTAGATGCTTCTTATGAGACTTGTGTTTTGTTTTGGTAAAAATGGTTTATATCGTCAGTTAGCTGAGATTATTTCCGTTAATCTGGTATAACACAAGAGGAGCAGGAGCCAGGTTTAAGTTCCAGGCTCAGAGTCAGGATAAAACTGTGTTTACGTACTGGCATAATTGTTAAGATCAAACTGAGAAAGAGCATTCTCTTTGGGCTTCTTGGCGGCCTGTTTGGCTTCATCTTTACGACGGCCAGACGGGTCTTTAGTAGGCCTCTGTGATGCTCCTCCAGGTGTTTGTGATGTCCCATCTGGATTCTGCTGGGCTGCAGGGCTGTTTGTATCAGAGACACATGTTAGAGAATAAAGGAAACATTGAAACCCTAACAGAGACTATGTGACACATTTCAATGTTGAATAGATCACCAGGGTGGTGGTGACGGAGGCCTGAGACACTAAGAGTGTAAACTAATTATGTAAATGAGAACAATTCGATTTGCGTAAAAAGCTATGTAACCTTTGTTTTATTCTAACTGTACTATAAAGTAGAAGATGACAAATAATACAGAATCAAAGCCTGAGACTACAAAGACCAAAGTAGCCACTAGACGGCAAGAGTGAAAAGACACTGGAATCTAACATTAAAAACAGCTTTTTCACTCAGGTTTCTTTAAGAATCAGAAATGCTGCTGAATAAGGTAAAGTGAGAGGATCTAAAAATACCAGCACACTGATGCCATATTTATAAGATTTTAACCAATACACTTGAATAGAGTAATCTACCTAAGATTAGAACCTATCAAATTCCAAAGCCCGTTTGGACATGCCATACCAACAGTTGTCTGAAATATGTAGATTCTTCACAAGTGATACGCAGTGCAACTATTCATTAAACACACAGCTACACAAGGGGTTCATTGTATGTAAATAAACCTGCAGTTTTATTCTAATGCACAATTTTCATTGAGTCAACTTCATTGTGCTAAGTGTTAATGTAAGCAGACAAAGTAAATGCCTAACCAAACACAAAAGCACGATTGTTCAAACTCACCCTTTGCGGCCGGCTTTGGCCCCTCCCCTCCTCTCCCCCTTGCCTCCTGCATAGCTCCGCACTGGTTTAGCTCCACTGTTGCCTCTACGATTCTGTCTCTCTGCAGGCCTTTGATTTGAGAAACTCCTCTTGGCTGCAGGAGCCCCGTCACGTTTTGGAGTCACCCTTCCATCAGGGGGGCTTCTGTTGGGGGTCATGGAGCCCTGGGGCGGTGCAGGTGCCTGGGCAGAGGCAGTGGCTGCTTCATGAGCAGCCTCGAGAGCTCCTTTCCTTTCTTCTCGCTCTCTCCTCTCGTTGAAGTCGCTGCTCTCAGAGGCAGTTTCCCATTCCTCATTGGCTTGATCTGAAGAGTTCTGGTTGGACAGGTCAGGGGATTTGGTTCCAACTGCAGTGATGGTGGGGCTGCTGGTGTCAGGCAAGGGTGCTTCCATAGAGGAGGACAAGTCAGGAGCAGGCATAGTGGCGGCCACGTCTGCAGGCACAGTCAGAGGGGTCCCCGGGGCCCTGGACAGGGTTGGGGAGTGGGACACTGGAGCAGCAGCAGAGCTGGGGACAGCAGCAGGCACTGGGAGTAGAGGGACAGAGGGACCTGGGGCTGTTTCTCCATTAGCTAACACTGCAGCCTCCCGTTCCTTCAAGCGCCTAAAGCGGGGGGGTTTATCTTGCCTGGGGGGCCTTGCTGGTCTGGACCGCCGTGGTCTTTCTCTACTACTCTGAGGAGCCCCTTCCAAAAATGTCTTGCCATCAGACCTAGGGGGTCTTCGGTCCGCAGCAGGATTGTCATATCTTTGTGAGGACTCTGTGTCCTCCAGCCTGAATGTCTCCATGGGTTTAGAAGGCCACTGAGAGGAGGACTCTCTAGCACCTGGCCGTCTGAGAGGGCCCGGGCGAGGGCCACCACGTTCCCTTGTTCCACCTCGTCTACTGTAAAGTCCTCCTCTTCCTCGTCGTGAAGGATCTCCCTTAGCAAGGAATCCTGGCTTGGGTCTGCTCTCATCGTCCCCTCTGTGTCCAACCCTTTCCCCCATGTGAGGAGGTCCAAAGCCTGGCTTGTGGGGCCCAGGCCGGGCCTCCCCAGGGAGCTCTCGCCTCAATGGACGGCTAGGTTTGGTACTAGGCTCACGATCAGACGGCCCGGTATCACTGGCAGACTCTCTACCACCTTCACTCTCAGAATCTGTGTTCGAACCCCGGCGCCGTCTACGTTTTGGACGAACTTCAAAGTCTGAGCTCTCGCTGCGTGTTTCGCTTTCTTCCCTGTTGCGGAAGGCAGCAGCGCCTCCAACCAAAGGTAAATCTGAGCGTGATCGGGGCTCTCTGTAATTGTACTCTGCCCGGCTTCGACCGCGACCCCCTCTGTTTCGGCCACTGTAAGCCCCCCGGTAGCTCCGTCCCCTGGAGTAATACTCGCCTCGACCACGTGCTTTGAATGGGTCAGCAGGCCACTCTCTGTCTCTGTCTCGATCTCTGTCCCTGTCCATATCCTTCTCCCTCTCACGTTCCCGCTCTCTGTCCTCTCGTCGGTATGAACGTGGAGGAAGATTGGACTCCTTCCTGGAGGGCAGTTTGGGTTCTGGATGTTGGTCATTGCTGGGCGGTTTGTCTGCTTTCTCCTCCTGAGAGGAAGAGGTGGGAACCCCAGGTGAAGGCTGAGGGTCTTTGACTCTTGGAAGGCAAGTCTGCGTTTCCTCAGCCTCACCAGCTTCTCTCTTCCCCTCCGCCTGAGATCTGGAGCCCTCAGACACAACTGCAGCTGCAGACGGAGCTTTGGATGATTGATCCTTCTTGAAGCGGTCTCCTCTCTCTCCTCTCTCCAATCTCTCCAATCTCTCTCCTCTATCCCCCCTCTCCCCTCTCTCGAGGCGCTTCTCTCTTTCTTCTCTTTGCTCCCTCTCTTCTTTCATGTCCCTAAGGACAGGCTTCTTTATTGGGCCAGACCTGCGGAGAGGTCTCTCTCCACCTGGTCCTTCTCTGCGTCCGGCCCCTGATCTTGCGCCCCAGCGCAGCTCGGCTTTCTGCTTGCTCGGGACTGGCAAAGGCAGTTTCTCTTGTTTGTGTAATCCATCAGCAGGTGGTGTAGCCCTGTTGCTAGTCAACGCAGTCTGGGGCTGGGGGTAGGGTTCATTCTGAGGCTTATCATCAGAACGTTCTGCAGAGTCCTGAATGTCTAGAGCTGTTGTTCCCAGGGACAGCCCATCAAACCTGGGCTCATCCAGCTTGAGGGAGTGGCTGGAGCCCTGGGAGACGCTCCTCTGCAGCATCGCCTGGCCGAGAGCTTCTACCTCTTCCCCACTTGGGAGGCCTGCTTCTTCTGAATCAAAGGCTGAGGCCACAGGAACCCTGTCTAGGGGCCCCGATACATCCTCTGGGCCCGGAGTAAATGCTGACAGGGACTCTGTAGTGTCCTGGAAGAAGTTACTTTTGTGAGAGTCCAATACAGTTTGGTCCTGGGGAAAGATAGTTGTTAGACCCCTGTCTAGATCCAAACCACAGTCGATCCTGTCAAATAGAAAATGGTTATTTAGTTTCATGCATTAAATAAAAAGTTATTTCTTATGTTGTCATCTATCAATTATTTACCTCGGCTCTTTGTTATCTTCTTGTCCTTTTGGAGGAGTTACAGAGGGTAAAGGCTCTGACTGTGGGTATGGTTCCGATCCCCATACCATCCGTGAGTCTGACGGCAGGCCATGGTCACGAATTGGTCGGGTCAAATGGTCAAAGGAGTCAGGGCTGGAGCTAGAATTGTCACCCGGTTCTCTGCGAACGATCTGCTTCGGAGGCATCCTCCCTGGAGAAGACAAAGAAGAGAGACTTTCAACAGGTTTTCTGGCACATCTGTAACCTTTCAGTACTTTTATCTCTCGGATACATTCTATATTGCTGCTCCAAAGAATTCCCCACCTTGGTGAATGTTAGTTGGCATGTCCATGGGAGGACGTCCTGACATAATGCGAGGGTCCATGTAGGACTGCATCATGAGCCAGCGGGGGTCAAAGCCCATGGACGCCAGGTGCTGGTGGTGGGGGCCAATGGGTTGATACATTGAGCGGTGTTGCTGCTGCTGCTGCTGCTGCTGCTGCTGCTGCTGCTGTTGTTGTTGTTGTTGTTGTTGGGGAGCTGGGACACCGCCTCCGCCACCTGATGGGGACAGGGAGCCTCCACTCTGGTGTTGCTGTTGCTGCCATTGTTGCTGCTTCATCTGCTCCTACAAGAACAGGGATTGGTAACAGAGACAAAATATTTAAATTGTATACATTACATTGTAAGTGTCTGTGTTTGCGTTAATGATGGCTCATCGTCATATTTGTTTGTTCTGACAACACGATGCTTTAAAAATTGCCACTAGGTCAAAACTCTTTCTTTTTTTCTTTTTTTCTTAACTGGAGGGATTCAAGTTTGAGGATATAATAATTTTTTTATTGTTCTTTGAAAACTGGCCTTGTTAATGACTTGCACACAAATTCTTATTTAACAAGCAAAATCACAGTTGCCATTAACAGACCAGATGTGGACATCCTTACCTGCTGTCTGAGGAAACGAGGAGGCAAAGACTTTTGAAACTGTTTGGAATAGCCCGAGTTAAGAGAGGGACGCAGAGCAGCTGCCGCTTCTCCTTCGAGTTGTGGCGGTGACATAGAGACTTCCTCTCCACTGGGCAGGTCCATGTGAGGTGGAGACAGGTGGGGCTCATCCACTGCAGGCAGCAACTCAATAGTATTTGGATCTGTTACTGAAAGAAATATAGTCAGTCGCAACTAAACAAACATTTACATGCAACCTTAAAGGAACGGCTCTAGTTAACTCACCTCTGTTGTCCTCTAAGTTGAAATAGTCTTGGATAGGCACTGCTCTGTCTACCTGGTTGTCCTCCACCAGGGCGCTAACCTCAACAAAGGAACTCTCTTCCTCACTCTGAGGCTCTGGAGCAACGGCCAAAGATCTCTGGATCGTGGGACTGGGCTGACGAGGCAGGGGAGCCTCCTCCTCTACAATTGGTTCCACTATCTCGTGTTCTCGCTCCACTACCTCGTGATCTCGCTCCACCATCTCCCCATCTAGATCCACCTCTTCAGGTAGAGGCGCTTGCACGATTGTGGCCGGTGGTTGTGAAACTGGGATGGAGGGTACAGGACTGGATACGGGAGCAGGATCTGATAAGGACTCTTCTTCCTCTGCAGGTCCTGCTTCTTCATTGGTGGTCTGAGAAAGGGTGGGTGTGCTTTCAGTTGTCTGGCGGTGTTTTTCATTGAGACGTTTCAGTTTTTCAGCACAAGCTGCGAGCCGTTGTTCTTCCATGCGCCGTTCTTCTTCATCTCTTCGCTTCCTAGCCCGTTCTACAGCTTCAGAAACTTCTTGAGGTTTCTTGCGCTTCTGTCGCCAGGCCTCAGGGTCCTCCTCAGCACCAGGGGCTGCTGCAGCCGGTGGTTTGGTTGCACGTGGAGCTCCGCTTACAACAGAACGACTGCCGCCCTGGAGATGCAGAATTACAGATACAGACTTTTCAACTTTGTTTTTAAATAAACAGTGCCCATTTGAAGTGAAGCATGTGAAAGGATAACTGGTTTTACCTGGTAGTCCTGCGGTGCAGCTGACTTGTACTGCCCCATACTGCCAGGGGATGGCGCTCTGGGATCACCATCAGCCCATGAGGTTTTACTGCCCCCACGCTCCTCGGGACCCTCCTTCCAGCCCTCCTGACCCTCTGCTGGCCGAGATCTCATGCGCTCCACTTTACCCATCCATTCCCTGAAATTAATGAAAATATGTCTCACATCAGTTGGAAATTAAACATATTTTTGAACTTAAAAAGGTTAAATAAATAACCACCGATGTATTTTCTGCAACACTAAAGCACGGGGCCTAAATAGTAAATGTTAGGGAATGCAAGTGTTTCAAAGTTAGAATGAAATACTAACCAGTTTTCTCTTTTTTCTTTATTAGCTTGGTTCTCCTCATCATCGCTGAAGTTTAGTTTCTCCGTGTAGTCCACTTCCATCTGGGCTCCTGTGAGGCAGAAAGTGTTGGATTGAAAGATGTTAAATTAAATTTGAATTTACGCAGAGGTTAATAGGTGTAGCTACTAACCTGCCCAGCCCTCGTCAGTGTCTGTGTCTAAATTGTCGAGCCCTTTCAGCTCTGTTGCGCTGATGATGGAGGGCCTGTCTGGGTCCTTGTGCCAGCCCTGAGGGGGACCCTGCTGGGGTCGTGAACGGGGACCCCTGACCATCCAGCAGAAGAAAAAGCAGAGAACAGTCGTAAGGCACCTGGTCTAGTACATTCATATTTTCCTCTATTCATAGCCAAATATCAGTAAAGTATCCAGTAGGGATGTAACGATACTTAAAACTCACGGTAAGATAATATCGTGATAAAAAGTCCACGGTACGATAGTTATCGCGATATTGTAAAATAAAGAGATTTTTTTTTTTCATTAATTAATAAATCGGATTTGTACAGCATTTTAGTAGGATAGTTGTATTTTAAAAATTGTCAACAATATAATAATCAGACCCTGCAATAGAATAAATCAAGTAACTCAACTCTAACTCACTCACTCAGCATCATCAAGGTTATCTTTTAGGAATATGAGCATGTCCACATTTCCAGGTAGAAGCTGGGATGTTTGGGCGTTTACAATATCCCCTGCTGTGGAAAAAACTCTCTTGCTTGGTACTGATGTTGCTGGGACAGAGAGATATGCTTTGGCCATGGGTGACAGCAGTGGGTCAAACTGTGCATTGTCTCTCCACCACTTCAAAAACAATACAGTTTTTGCCAAGAAGGTGAGGCTTATTGACAGGGCGAGATATAAATATACTGTTGCTACTTGTCAATGTCTCTAGGTATGTACATGTAGCCCTGTAAATACCATGTCCTTTTGTGTTATGTTCATGTTGTAACCTACTTGCTGCCATTTTGGACAGGTCTCCCTTGAAAAAGAGATCAATGATCTCAATGGGACCATCTGGTTAAATAAAGGTTTAAAAAAAAAAAAAGAGTTATTTAACAATTAATTTTTTTTTTTCTCAATCGCGGTAGATTTTGTCAGTCTCACCTCGGTTTTGAGACATTTATTTACAGCGATATTCGATATCTCGTTACATCCCTAGTATCCAGTGCTTCTGTGTGATTGTATCACATCTGAACTTTATTGTTTAGGGAACTTAGGTTCATTTCTAATCCTAAATATAATATGGTATATACGCTGCATGAATAAAACGTTTTTTGTTGTTGTTATTTATCAATTTCAGAGTATATTGTGTGTTTGCAATGATACAACAAAATACAAATTAAAAGTATCTTTTATTTTGGGCTAAGCCATGAATATGTGAACTCACTTTGCTCCTTCCTGTGGGACAGGGTATCTGAGGTTTCCTTGCCCTGGGGCAAAAGAAATTTGAGGAAACGCCTGGAACATCTGAAAGAAAAAGAACGCAATCATCAGGCTTTAAGCAATAAACACAGCTAGATACTTTAAATAGAGTGAGCTAGTGTGGTTTGTTCAAAAATATGAAGCCGAGACTTACATAGGGTGGCATCATGCTCCTGAAAGCAGGGTCAAAGTGTGTTGGTACCCCAGCAGGAGGCTGTTGCCCCCCGTTGAGTTTAGGCTGAGAAGTGGGGGCAGAGGGGGGCACCTTCTCCCTGCCATCCCTTTTCTCATTCTGAACGTCAGCGGTTACTGTTCGCCCAGCCTCTTCAGCTTCCCCTGGAGGCGTAGAGGTATCAGGGACCGCAACCCCCTCCTCCAGAGGCCTGTTGTCCATCTCAGAGGGGCTGGGTGCAGTGATTAAATTCCTGCCTCCGCCCTCACGCCAACTGCCAACATCTAACGAGAAAAAGGAGGAGAGATATGAATTGACAGAGTTCTTGCGGTTCCTGAAGAAAAAGGGAAAGAGACATCAATAAGTGGACCGTGAATGCTGTTTAAGGGCATGAGCCATACTTTGAGGTCTGAGGCTAGGTCCCGGTCCATAAGGCTCCTCTTCTGGACCATCCTCTTTCTCCCCCTCACCAGATGCCTGCAAGCTAGGAAACTCCTGGTGAAATTGACTACTCACACGAGGAGCTCCTGTAGAATAAAAGCACATGGTTATAAATAGACAGAAATCCCATTATGAAAAATATAATACAGAGACTAACAGAGAATCATTTGGTTTAACCTTAGGTTGGTGTACAGTCCCATTTTCAACCTGATATCAGATTTAGTTCAAACTAATGATTCCTGCAGGCTGTAATGTGTGGGATGCCTGATATCGTAAACAATTGAACTAGAACATACATAAGTGACCACTAATGTTTACACATGCCAACATTCTGGTTTTGCTGTGTTTTAGAGATCGCAGAGGAGCAAAGTAAAACAACTAGAATGTTGGGTAATAGTGAGAAGACATGCTGAGCTAACAGGAAAAGAGCTTATATAGGTTTTTATCAGTTGTGTAGTGGGCATGGAGAAAGTGAACAGCACCTTCTATTGGTGTCTGCTTGCTGCTGGCCCAGGAGCGGCTGCCCACAATAGAAGGCTCTGGAGGCGGGACCACGGGTGGTTTGACCGGGGGTGGGGGCGTCTCCTGTTGCCTATGGCAGATGAAAAGGACAGTTTCCAAAAACAGTCATTATTTGAAACATGGATGACCCACTCCACCAAATATTCAAGATATTATGTAGCCCTTAAAAAACACACCATAATTGTGGTGCGATAGCAACATTATGAATTTACCTCTCCTCCCCTCCCTCAGGTCGAGATGCCCAGCCACTCCCGTCTTTGGGGACGATGTTGACGTTGGGGTCGTTTCCCTTGTTCTCTGCCTTCAGACTGGGCAGGTTGGCCGGAGGGGGCATGCGCCGGCTAGCAGCAACTTTGCCCAAACTTTGGAGCCCATGTCTAGCAGCAACTAGAAGGAAAAACAATTGTACATGTAATAAAGCAAGGAAAGTACTTGAGCATCCTAAGGGTATTACTTTATAACATTGATTAATTGAAATAGTTTGCAAGAATAACAGGGAAACATAGTGAGAGCTTACCTGCAGTTTTCTGGGTTTCCAAAGATTTGCCCTTGTAGGTGTTAAAGAGGCTAAGGGTTGCATACTTTGTTTTGCCATCCTTTGCCTTGGTGCTTTGCCCTGACTTCTCTGACATTTCGATGTAAACTCATTGAGTCTGGTCCTTTGGCCTCGCCCCCAGAACCAGCCTCCTTTAGAGCAAGGGTGAAAAAAAAAAAAGAGAACATGAAAGGTGAGGAGGTTATTGACACTAGATCATAAACACATATCTTACTTCCTTAGATGTTCCCCAACACCCGAGTCTGATGCACGTAGAAAGAAAAATCTGCCCTGAACCCGAGCCTTAGACTAGACATGCAGGCCATTTCTGATTTGACCACCAAGTCAATTTGGAGGGGAGAATCAGGAAACAAAAAGCATAAAGTGGATGAGAGTGAGGAATACCACGGACATAGAGACAGCTTGTTTGGGGCGGCAGTGTCTTTCCTAAGTCACACAGAGGTCATTTATTATTAACGGAGCGGTGGTGGAAATGTGTGAGTGTTTGTGTGTGTGTAATGGGGGCTCCATCTGTAACTTGGCCTTGGAACACATAGTGAAGTAACATACACTTGAAGGAAAAGTGTTTTTGAAAAAAATATGGTTTTTAGTTTTTAAAAACTATCAATAGAATGATAGGCCAAACTGACAAGAAACCCCAGTGTATGGGCATCTGTATCTTCTTTTCACTGGTGTGCACATGCAGGGCCATATTTGATGTGCTCCTTCAAATGAGCAAACAAATATTTGCAGGCAGCCATAGTCCAAATATTTTCTGACATTATTCCAGTTCTGGCAGTAGGCTCTATGCCAGGAGTGCCCAACCTTTCTGGAACCAAGAGCTACTTTTAAAAGTTGCCAGTCTGCCGAGCTGGGGTGCTAGAGAACTCAACTGTCAACTGGGGGGGGGGGGAGCCACGTTGCGGGGAAACGGCGGACCTCTGTCGGTGCAACTTCAATTATGCCTTTTAGAAACATAAAAAATTAAGGACTGTTACGGCCGTCAGCTTATCGAGCCGACCCTTGACGACCGGCTGTTCTGTGATTCTCCAGATTGCCAGTCCGCGGAGGGTGGAAAAAACATACCGGAAGTAAAAAAAGACGTGCAACGTGACGGTGAATTTTGAATTGAGCCGTCCCTTAGATACTATCTCTTTACGTGAGTGAGACGGATCATTTGGCTCGGTTCTCTAAGAAGCGCCGGCTCTTTCAGGGCGTTCCGATCTGAATAAGGGCGTCAAATGGCGGCAAGACACCCCCTGGCGGAAACGCTGATCTCATCTCTTAAAACTCACAACTTATGAATTAAACATTCACAAACTTATAATTATGTATTCACATGTTTAACTCTGTTACATATGCACGAAACGAACAGAAGAGCGTAGGGCAGAATTAGGAGGGAATTCCGTCTCGTAGCGTTCGTGCACCGTTTGGAAAGCAATGCTCTCACCGCAGATGAACTTTGAATTGGAATAAACAAAAAAATAATCATCCTCCCACTCGGAGTGAAAATTATATATTTTGGGCTTTTTTGCTTCTGCCATAATTGCGGTCTTGTGTGTGTGTGCGGCACTGGCGGCGCCAGGGGGGGCGCTGAAGCACCGCCCAGGATAGCCATACCATCCCGTAAGCACCCCCAAGAAATATATGTCCTTTTTTTTTTTTTTGTAAAATTCATAATTTGAAAAATGATTGATTCGAAAGTAATATGCCACAGTACAAGTATCTTACTTCTGGGTGTGTTTCAATCAAGCTCTGCGTGTGCGTGTGTGTCATGAGCCATTTTGTGTGCGTGCACAAGCGAGCAAGATGGAGGGCGCGCACCGGTGGGTATCTACCGGAGATCGTTGTGGTTAGCATCTGGTGCTAGCTAGCCAAGCTAACGGATACAAGGAGCTTTTTCAACAACAAGGTGGAGGGAGAACTCTCTCCTGTCAGACTGAGAGTCTCAGATAACCTCAGGTGAAGTAAAGGACTCAGTGTTTAGATAGTTAACTTTAGTCTAGTTATCTCAGTGGGTCTCAAACGGTTTGGTCACGATTAATTTAAATAAGTATTTCCGAGGCACACGTTTATATGATCAGTATAAAAAAATAAGAGCATACATGAAAAACAGTTATGAAATACTATATGACAGTAAAATAAGAATACAGTTTAAAAGTAGAGTGATTTTTAAAATATCCATGAAGAAAAAGAAAATCTGTTTACAGTTGTTTCAAATGGGTGTTAAGAGATGTATCCATAGATCTCTTAATGTTGCTCTCAAACTGTACCAGATTGATGCTTTTAACTTCAATATTTAAAACAGAATATATTGTTGTTCTATTTTTAGACATAACTCGCGATCGACTGGGAGTGCCCAACCAGTCGATCGCGATCGACTGGTTGGGCACCCCTGCTCTAAGCCAACGAATTATGAGACTGATGAATTAACACAGATTACAAGACACACACTGCAAAGGTTAACAATAAAAAGACAGAATACAAATGTAGATGAAGCTGCAGATGAAAACTAAGCTTTGTGGCGTTTGAATGTAGCAGTGCAGACTGATCACAGAGAAATGTTTGAGAAACTGACATGAAATGGTTGCATTAATCATTATTGTACATCAATGTTTCTGGTACAACTTTGTAATATACAGCAGTGTTGCTTGAATCGACTTAAATCTAACAGAACCACTTTAGCACATTTAAGTACTCTAAACTGCTGTAAAAGCCGTAATGGTCTGCTGATGACTGAGGGTGTTTGTCTGAAACCACCAGGCATCACAAGAGAAACACTGGTTTTATTTAACCTGTCTGATATAAATCAAAGGGATTATTAAAAGTATCCAGCTGTGTGGAGGCGCCAACTGAATTATTTTTATTTTAATAAAATCTGAACAATTTTTAAAAAGGGAAATCCCCCCCCCCCCC